AGAGAGTGGGCGGCGCTCACCATGTGCAGCTGGCGCTGGCAGTGGAACCGTTCCGTGGGGCTGCTGAGCTGGTTCGCCCCGACCCCCACCAGCCGGCTGGCCTCGTACGTGAGCAGCATCAGCAGGTCCGCTGAGACCAGCGACCTGCCGCCCACAGCCACCTTCATACTTATTCTATGATGGACGGTACATACTGCCTCAGATTAATACTTTATCGACCGCGTGATGCTGGTTAAAAACAATCATGATGTTTCGGAGTCTACCACCAACGGTCCTCGAGTTATCAGCGGCCAAACAACGCAGGCACCCCTTCATCATGTACGATTATTCGTCCCTGCTGAAAGCGCACAGACATTCCCTGTCAGTGCGCCGTCGGCATGTTAATGCCGCTCCAAGTGCGGAGTCGGCAGGCTTCGTGCCACCAATTAAGAACAGGAGCAACATCAGATCACATCGATGCATTATGGCACAGCTGCCGTAGAACTCCTCGTGATCAGGTCACTGACAAAAATACTAGCCAAACAGATAATAATGGAGCGACTATGAGCTGGCCGCCGTACACACTGCTCAGCTGGTAGTACCGCCACATGTCTGTCGTCTGGCGGATACCGAGTGCCAACGGTCGGGAGCAGGACGACTAGGCCTTCAGGCTGGATGGCTCACGCCGCGGCTGGCTCTCACTGATGTTAAAGTGCCGCGCGCGACGGTGCTGATTCTGATGCCACATACTGAAGGCCGGCATCCGGTAAATAACCATGCAAGAAACAGGTGGGACCGGCTCGGGAGCGGGTCGCCGACACGGCACGTGCGCTCTGTGCCGGTAGCCACCGAGCGGGAGCGTCGACCGCACCTGATATGGACATAGCTGATGCGCAGCTCAGTGATTGGCTTCATGAAGTAGACGATGACCCAGTACAGGTGCGACTTGTCCGTCTTGTCCGGAAGACTGGACATCAGCGCCTGGTCGCCGGGGGGCACGACAGGGTCAGCGGCGGTGCAGAAGGGCAGCACGCGCCGGCCGCCGGGGGGCACGACAGGGTCAGCGGCGGTGCAGAAGGGCAGCACGCGCCGGTTGCCGGGGGCACGACAGGGTCAGCGGCGGTGCAGAAGGGCAGCACGCGCCGCCCGTCGCGCATGTGTTCACATACTTCGGAGACGCAGAGGGCGCCAGGTGAGAACGCTGGCAGTCACAGAGAGAGGCTGGGGCGGAAACGTGACGGTGGCGAAACGCACGGGCAGACCAGAGGGGCCGACCGGAGAGGTAGGCATTTTCAGGTAAGTCGCTCGGCACACCAGGGAAGCCCGGGGCAGGTGCGCCCCCCACCCCCCCTGAGCTCATGTCTTAAGTACGCCGTTTAAGAGCAGTGTCATCGTCGATGTTGACAAATCAGAATTTCGAAAGACCGATGTCATGAGCACGCCGTACGGACAGCCAAAGGACGAGCAACAGCCGCTCAGGGAGTGAAGCACCACTACAGGCCAGTAGCCCAGTGTGTGCCTCCCATGGCCGACAGGCCCGACATGCGTTATCGCTGGCGCCGAGCCGCCAGACGCTCCCCCGCGCCGGACCTCAAGCTACATCCAATCGGCGACGTCACAAGGAAGTGCAGCCAGCCAGCAGGGCGCCAGCATAGCGTGGGTGTCGAAGCTCACCGAGACCAAGTGGGCGCAGCCGGTCAGCAGGAACTTGATGGTGAACTCGGTGAGCACCGTGTCCACGTCCGTCTGGGACGGGTCGCGCGCCACCAGCGCCAGGATCTTGCGCGCCTTGGCACGCATTACGTGCAGCAGCCGGTGGCACGGGTCGCATGGCGCCGGAGCCGCGCCGGATAACTTGAGTGGCGCAGGCGGCGGCGGCGGCGGGGGCGGCGGTGGTGGCGGCGGTGGCGGCGGGGGCGGCGGCGGCGGCGGTGGTGGTGGTGGCGGCGGCGGGGGCGGAGGCGGCGGAGGCAGAGACGGAGGAGGAGGCGACGGCGGAGGCTTGATCTTACTGCCGTGGTGCTGCTTGTGGTGACAAGCTTTGCTGGGCCTGGGGAACCGCCAGGCGTCAGCGACGACCGGCGGCGGGGCGCGCGGAGAGTCGCTCGCTCGCACGCGCCGAGGAAGGGGGCGCCGCCGCTGGGATCAAATCGAGCTGGTGAAGAGCCGACGAGATGACATGCCGCTGCCGTACAAACATCCGCAATCTCGAATGGGTGCAGAGCCGGCTTGGGCAGATAAGCCGGGGACAACCAACGTATTGCGAGAACAATCACTGTGCTGGAACGGTTGCTATGAGCGAGCCCAAGGCGCAGCAAAGGTCGATAGGCGCTTACAGTCGGCTATTTGGTAATTTGGGGTCAGAGTCCGTTCTCGACCAGCAATGCTAAGTTCAGGGCTATGGGGTGAAGGCGAACTCAGTCAACAGGACGCGCCTCGGCTCGGCACACAGCGGCAGCATGACGCCCCAGAGGCGACGCACGCCAAGCGGTGACGCATAGTGTGCGCCTGCCAGCCGCGCAGGCAGACTGGGACACAGACGCACACGGACGCGGAGCGTCGAAGCGTGTCTGCGGCCCTCCCTACCCCCGGTCGCGAAGAATCCGCGCCCCCCTCCCACACAGCAGGCTCCAGTGACCGGATCCGGATACGATCCAGTGGCCACTTCAGCGCCTCTCACACGTTCCGGCGCGCACTCGGAGTCGGCGCGCTTGAGCAGGGATGCGTGCGGGCGCACCTCTTGACGTAACGGCCCTCGTCGCTGCTGGTGCTCGAGTCGATCGGCTTGGCGTGGCGCTTCTGCGCCCGCGCCGCCGTCAGCTTGCGCTTCGGCGCCTGAAACCGGCGGCGAGCCGCAGGTCAGCGTGACGTCACGGGCCGGCGCCTCGACCCGGGCCGGTAACGATCGGCGCGCCGCCGCCTTCACGGGCAGATGACGGGCTTGGTCGCTCGTCGGCCGCCCCCGTGAACAGGTGACGCGCCAGGGAGCGCGCGAGCGACGACCTCACAGCGCACACCATGGGCATGCACCACCGTTGGTTACTGGAGGCGGAGCAGCGCAGATTTCATTTAGACACAACTAAAAGCCTAAAAAAGACGTCTGCCGCCGCATTGATGCCAGCATTCCAGCGCAAGCTCTTGTGAACGAAGGCGACGGACCGGGTTTTTTTCGACAGGTTCCTTTATATGTATTTTTTACACATGCGATGCATATTCCTGCGTTGCATCAGTGTGACACGACGACGAACGGGTTAGCCGGCAAGAAACTGCTTGGAATGGCGAACTGTGAAACTGATCAAACCTGGAAACGTCTTTGACAGAAAAGAGTTGCGCTTCCGCATCTTCCCGTCCGCCCGACTGGTCAGTATCTGTGCCGGCGAGGCCGCGCCCTTGGCCGTGGTAGGCCCACCGCCAGACGCGTGGCATGTGCCAGGCGCGGCACGCGGCCTGTTTCGGGCCACCCACATCGTGTGGCGCTCGCTCATTATAAACTGTGATGCACCTTCACTTGCTGTCACGCTGTTGCCCCCTCAGCCAAAAATGTGTTATGTAGGAAGGAGGGCACGGTAATCTTGGAACAGCCGCAATCCATGCGCTGTCCTTCGTCTGAGACATAGGCGTTTGTTGTTTCACCTTGGTTGTCCATAAATGACGTCTAAATAACTAACTAAGAATTAAGGAAACACGCTTTTCCTTCTGCACACACCGGTAGGCGCGTGGCGTCGTACCTTGTTGGGCACCGCGCTGCCGTCTCGGTGCGGCTTCAACGTCACCTCCTCCGGTGACGTCGGGGCCGGCGCGCTCCACGTGCCCATCCGGATGGCGCCGACGTCCTGCGGCACGTGACAGACGCCGGCCAATCAGCGCGCGCCGCCACCGCCGCCGGCCCCGCCCGCTCACGTGGCCGGCAACGTGACACATCACGCAGCCGCAGCGCGTGGGGCGCGCGCGGGCGGCAGCGCATGCCGAGGAGAGCGCAGGAGGCGGACGCGTCCGGGCCGCGGCGCGGGCAGGCAACCGCGCCGCGAAGGCAGGCACGCCAGCTGACAATGTTACGGTGGGGAGGGTGGGGCGCTCAGCCAGTCTGACGGTCAAGGCTAGAGCGCGGCTGGCAGCGCTTCGACACGTCTTGCACGTCGCGATGGTATAAACAAGCGCACGCACAGCCCTCGCCGCCACGCAGCTCTAAAGGCATCAACTAGGTTTTCGTGTGATACGGAGGGGCATGCTAGGACAGAATCAGCACAAGTGCAAACCACTGAGCGGGATAATGTCAGCACAAGTGCCAACCACTGAGCGGGATAATGTCAGCACAAGTGCCAACCACTGAGCGGGATAATGTCAGCACAAGTGCCAACCACTGAGCGGGATAATGTACGAATGAATAAACTGCAGGTTAACAGCGGCAGGCACGCGATCAAAACACCTGGGGAAAAATTACGGTACTTATAAGCAACAATAACAGCTAAAACAGGTATATTTTTAGGCGGTTTACTCGAAATGACATCTCAACCGTCCAGCCCGCAGCGAGTCAGCAGAGCGGGAGACTCGGCGCACACAGCTCCGACGTGTCACGTTGAGCTTGCGAGCTCGGTGATCGTAAATCATTCCGGCAGCTGGACGGAAGAGCTCAACCGCCGAGCGCTATTCCGCTCACAGTCTCATCCAACGCGCCCCCACAGATGCCGGCGAACAGCCGCACGCCCAGCCGGGCCAGCGTGGGCGAGCGCGTCTCATTCGACGCCCGCCCTGTGCCCCGGAGATGCGGGAGGGTGCGCGCGCTGCGCCGCCCACTGACCGACGGCGAGGTGTTGCTCTCGTCGCCCTCGGAGCTGTCGCTCTGCGTGGGATGGAGCCAGCTCTGCAACATCTCGTGCAGGTGCCTGCTGGCGTACATCTTGTACAGCTGCGCGAGCAGCTCCACGGCCGGGGCGCACCACAGCTTCTGCCGGCGCGTGCGGTGGCGCCGTCAGCGCGCGCGCCGGCCCGGCCTCACCCCGGCCAGGCTGGGGCGCGGCCGCGACACACCGGCGGCCTGACGCGCCACCAAATGGTCCGCGAACGACACACAGTGGGACGTTGAGGCCGTGGAACATTTCGAGGATCGAGCGACGACACGCGACAGATGCATGTTTGGACTCGGATTTTTGTACATGTTGGCCACGGTACGGGAGTGTCTCATCCAACGCGCCAAATTTCATCTGCACCCGTCCGACCCAACACCTCTTCTGCTTTCACTTCCGGCGTTGGCTTTGCCTATCTGCCCCTAAGAGAAAGCATTTCAAGGCAGAGTTCACATGCGGTTGGGGCGGATGAAAAATATTATTGTTTGTACCTTCAAGGCGTCATCAAGCCAACTTCAGAGTCCAAAACGGTACCAGCGTGGGGAAAAGGAGCACCTGAGCCACCGCCGGCGCTGTTTGAGCCATCTTCTACTACATCGCCTTCCCTTTGATTTATTTGGTGAAGCAATCACACTGGAACCTTACGCAGGTGAACAGAACTCTACCCTATACTGCACTCTACCCTGTACTGCAATCGCGGAGAGTATGTCCCGATATCAAGAACCACTAATAATTTAGTAACCCAGACAGCTGCCATACAAACAGCCGCTCCTCGGTACCCAGTTTCAGGATGGGGCACTCAACATACCGAGACGGGGCACTCACTTCTCCTGGGCGGGGCACTCACCATAACGGGGTGAAGCACTCGCTAGTCCGGGCGGGGCACTCGCCAGAACGGGGTGGGGCGCTCACCAGAGCGGGGAGGAGCATTCCACAGCCCAGAGCTGAGCACTCATCAGACCAGAGAGGAGCACTCCTCAGACCAGAGAGGAGCACTCCTCAGCCCAGAGCTGAGCATTCCTCAGCCCAGAGCTGAGCACTCATCAGACCAGAGAGGAGCACTCCTCAGCCCAGAGCTGAGCATTCCTCAGCCCACAGCTGAGCAATCCTCAGCCCAGAGCTGAGCACTCACCAGAGCAGAGAGGAACACCCTTCAGCCCAGAGCTGAGCACTGACCAGACCGAGGCGAGGCATTCGGCCGGCGCGAGGGGCACACTCACCAGACTAGGCGACTCCATGAGCTGGCTGAGCGCGGGTCCCAGCTGGGCGGAGAAGAGCGCCCACATCTGGTTGCGATATCGGCTGACCTCGGCGGCGTCGGCCGCCAGCGGTCCGTGCAGCAGGTTGCGCAGCAGCGAGAGTGTCCGTGACACGCACTCAGCGTCCCGGCCGTTCACCTCCTGACATACACATACCCCAATGCGGTCACCTCCTGAGACACACCACACCGCGGTCACCTCCTGACACACACCCCACTGCGGTAACCTCCTGAGACACACCGCACCGCGGTCACCTCCTGACATACACCCCACTGCGGTCACCTCCTGACACACACCCCACTGCGGTCACCTCCTGACACACACCGGACTGCGGTCACCTCCTGGCATACACCCCACTGCGGTCACCTCCTGACATACACCGCACTGCGGTCACCTCCTGACACACGCACCACACTGCAGTCACCTCCTGACACACTCCCCACCGCGGTCACCTCCTGACATACATCCCACTGCGATCACCTCCTGACACACGCACCACACTGCAGTCACCTCCTGACATGCATCCCACTGCGGTCACCTCCTGACACACGCACCGCACTGCAGTCACTTCCTGACATGCATCCCACTGCGGTCGCCTCCTGACACACTCCCCACTGCGGTCACCTCCTGACACACTCCCCACCGCGGTCACCTCCTGACAAACTTTCCACTGCGGTCGCCTCCTGACATACACCGCACTGCGGTCACCTCCTGACATACACCGCACTGCGGTCGCCGCCTGACATACACCGCACTG